AGAGCTATGGAGCAGGCCCACTAGCTCTGGCCCTCCAAAGATGTTTGCTGAGTGGATGAACCCCCTCTAGAGGCAGCAAGACCTCACTGCATTCATCCCCTTGTCTTGAGGCCTTAATCTCTCAGCAGCACTCTGGCCTTTACTTCCCAAATGCTCAGATAACAGACAGCCACCAAGTCAAGCAAGCCCCTTGCTCAGTGTGCTCAGTCTCCCCTGGTTTCTGCTCTTCAGCCTTTCCCTGACTATAAAACCCGACTTCTTCTTACCCTGTTTTATGGAACTAAATTTCTAAATCTAGAAATGAAAATTAAATCAATTAAAAATTTAAAATGAGCTTGTAGTCCTGGCCCCCTAGAGGTGAAGAGTCAGTTTAAACTTACCCTCTGCTGTATGTAAGACCTTGTCTCAATAAAACCAGCAGGTGGTGGTGCACATCTTTTTGAAAAAAAAAAAATCTATTCATCCATCCATCCATCCATCCATCCATCCATCATGTGTGTCCATAGAGGTCAGAAGAGGGTAGTGGATGGAACCTGAGCCAGAGTTGTGAGCTGCCATGTAGGTGCTGGGAATTGAACCTGGGTCTTCCGGAAGAGCAGCCAGTGCTCTTAACTGCTGAGCCATTTCTGCAACTCTGGTGGTACACATCTTAATCCTAGTATCTGGTCAGGAGGATTTGAGTTTGAAGCCAAACTGATCTAGTACATCCCAGGCCGGTCTATCTGTCTCAAAAATTCAAATACAAAACCAAAAACCCCAAGCCATCATGATTGTAAAGGGTATGGAAGCTGCCTCTTCCTACCTGCCAAGACCACCTTTCTAAACTAAGGTTGTGTGGTGGTTTGAATGCTTGGCCTGGGGGAGTGGCACTATTAGGAGGTGTGGTCTTGTTGGAGGAAGTGTGTGGCCGTGGGGGTGGGCTTTAAGACCCTCGTCCTAGCCACCTAGAAAGTAGTCTGCTCCTGGCTTCCTTTGGATGAAGAGGCAGAACTCTCAGCTCCTCCTGCACCATGCCTGCCTGGATGCTCCCAAGGTTCCTGCTTTGATGATAATGGACTGAACCTCTGAACCTGTAAGCCAGCCGAATGTTGTCCTTTATGAATGAGTTCTTGGTCATGGTGTTATTTCACAGCAATGGAAACCCAAAGACAGGCTGTTACAAAGCAGAAAAATGCACGCAGTACGAAAATGCACTTAATTCAACTGTTTTCTCCCTAGGCATGCCTTATTTCTTAATGTGTATGGGTGTTTTGCCTGCATGTATGTTTGTGTCCTACCACATGTACATGGTGGTCAAGGACGTCTGAAGAGGATGCTGGATCTCCTGGAACTAGAACTACAGATGGTGTCGAGTTGCCATATGGGTGTGGGGTCCTCTAGAAGAGCAGCCAGTGCACCTAACCACTGAGCCATCTCTCCAGCTCCTTGAGAATAGTGTGCTTCTCTCTAGTTTGATATATGCTAATTTTTAAAAGGTTACTGAGTTTTAACCAGCAGAGGGAAAACATCTTTTTGTTATCAGGTTAGCTTTGAGAAACTACATCCCATGTGACACAGGGTGGAAAAACTGGGGTCAAAGGGAAGAGATGTCCTGCTGGTACAGGCAAGGCGGGAAGCAGGCCAGGAAGGAGAAGATGGAGGATTGCCTCAGCCTGTGGTCTGTATATAAGTAACACTGGAGGATTTATTTGGTGAGTTCTGCCACTCGCCTGTGGCCAAAATCTTGTGAGCTGTACCCTACATCCAGGCACTGAAGTCCCCAAACACATGTCCTCCCATGGGCTGGGAGGAAGGTTCACAGACAGGTGGACAGACAAATCCAGACACTCTAAGTGACCTAAAGAAATGAAGCGTTAGAGACCATGGTTTTTCTATTTTTATATTTTATATAATTAATAAAACAGTGCTTGTATAAAAATTCACACAAAGTTGCTAGAGAGCATACAAGTTCCAAAACTGTCCTGGGTTTGTGGTACATTCAGTTTTCTAAGGGTGACTCAGATCAGTGTAACAGGCAGACATGACGTGGTATCGCATTCTCTTTGGTAAAACTATTCTTGTTACTTACCCCTCACAGTATCACTCTGATATCCACTTTGTGCAGGGTCTGCTCTTCCTGGGATGTCAGACATTAAGGCTGGATCTACAAGAGGCAAGGACTGCCCACAGCGGTGATAGCCCCTGGGCCCCCAACCCCACTCCAGAATGACCCAGTGACCTCCAACCAGGGGTCTCCAGGTCCCTCTGGATCAGGCAGGAAGCAACTGCTGGGGAAACGGTAGAAACTGAGGCAATCACTACAAGAACCCAAAAGGCCACACTGTGGTGCGATCGGGCCAAATCCAGTCGCCACTAAGTAGATCCCATTGGTCGGTTGATGATTGCTGCTGATGTGAACCCCTCACCCCCTAACTTAAAAGAAAAGGCAGGTTTGGGTTTCAACACTGAAGGGGAAGGGCAGCGAGCACTAACGACACTACACATTGATTCCCTGACAAACATTTGCCATCAAACGGACACGGCCACATGAACTAAAGCAGGATTCGAACACTGTACATTCAAGAGTATCTTCAGACATTCTTTAACAGCTTACTAACAGAGAAAAACCAAGACCACTACCACCTACTGTGACACACTATTTTGGTGAACATCAGAATGTCGTGGCTAATCTTTAGTCCTCTGGATACAAGGCAAAAATAATCCAAAACACAAACAAAGAATTTAGATGGGGACAGGGAAAGCAATTGCCGACAGATTTCATGAAATCCATTAAATTCTGAAAAAATAAGTATTTTATATTTATATTGCTTCATGAAAAAAAAATGCCCACTGGTGCTACCTGTACGGATGGGTGAGTGAGGACACCATACAGTCCAGTAGGGGCAGGAAACAGCTCCCAGAGTGTCCAGCTCTTTTCACTGAAAGGGAATGGGGGTGGGGTGGGGGTGAAGAGAAGCCCTACATAGTTAAAGTATTAAGGAAACCAAAATACAGGTTCCCAGAATCTAACGTGCTCTGGGTTACAGAAAGTCCCGCTTACTTCCTAGCGCCCACCATTTCTCTGACGGGAGTAGACAGGACGTCTAAAAACTCAGTGACCGATTGTGCTTCTGACGCCGCGGGGCCACACTCCACTTTCTAGAAAGCAGGACAATCGTCACATGGCTTGGAATCCTCTTGGTTACACCCTCAAGACCAGAACAAATCCCGTGGAATTCTCTCAAACCAGTGAAGCAATGAGAGAGTGCCACGGCCATCTTTGGGGTAGTGTGCGTGCATGAGTGCGTGTGTGTATGTGTGTGTGCACGTGTGTGTGACTAAGGCATTAGAGAGAGGCCGAGTGAGGGGGAAAAGGGAGTCTTCTGGCTGCCTTATTACCTTCTTCCTGGGCACAAGAAGGTTGCTTTGTTGTCTGTGGGCCCCTCACCTCACTTCTTATAAGGAGATATGTGTGCAGGGGTGGGTATGTCACAGAGTGCCACAGAGTCTGTGTGCACTTCTCAATGTCAATAATTTAGGTTTACAGTTATAGCATAAATAATCTGAAAATGACAGTGGATAGAAGCTTTACAGTATTGAAAATTGTTATTTTTTTTTAAATGCCCATTGGGTACATGCAAAATTATATCATGTTGTCTACTAGAACTAAAGTTCTTATCTTTATGAGAAAATTCATAGATTATTCCTATCATCTCTGCATATTAAGGTAGCAAAATATTAAGCCATTAAAGTTATCACACCTGTGATGTCCCACAAGGGCTTTATACTACCCTGGGCAACTCACTAATCTTCTAGGCAAGGATGACATGCACCGAGTTTGGGAAAGTTTCCTTTCCTTCTTAGGCATCTGGCCCAGCGCAGAAGGGAAAGAGATGTGCACCTCCATGCTAGGGGTGGGCCAGGGTAAGACGGCAGAACTTCCTACAAGGCTTGAGGGAAAAGGTCTGGTGGGACTGGGGAGGGGTGTGGGCACTCCATTTAAGATGGTTTGGGTCCTTCTAACACCTGCAAAAGAGCCCTAGGCCTGGGCTTTGGAGGTTCAAGACCATGCTACTCATGGGAGGAGCTAACACTGAGGTCTGGGGACACAGACTTTGTACAAATACACGGAGAGTAAACAGTTCTTGGTGAACCCAAAAGCTCACCGGTAAATCACACAAAAACATCCCTACACATTGTGTTCCAATGTGTCCCTCCGCACCAGCATCTCTGTGTGGGGAGGGAGCAGGGCTGCAGGAGGACACGGTTCCCATGAAGGCCCTGAGACCCCGCCTCCCCTCTATCTACATTCATGTCATCTTCCAGTGTTCTCATCTACACAGTGAGCACCACGCGGCCGTGGCAGACAGGCCGAGCCACAGCAGAAGGGAAACTCACATATAGTAACAAAGGGGCTACACACTACTTATAATTCATCCGGTCTGCTGAAGCTAAGGGGCTCTGGACTCTTCCAAAAATCAGATGTCAAACACAGGATTAGTAAAACTAGTCACTATGCCACCTGAAGCCACAGTTACCCATAATGCCTGAATATGGCATTTCTTTAAAAAAAAAAAAAAAAAGCACAAATCTAAAATCATCTTTAAAAACCCCAGCAACTGAAGTAATCTTACAGCATCTCATCTCAAATATTTTAAGATTTTTTTTCTAAATAAAATGGCTCCCAGAGAGCCTAATGATTTTTTCAAAATTTCATTTTAATTGAAAAAAAAAAAAAGATAAAAATAGAAGATGCAAAACCTGGGGAGAGAAACAAGCTGCTGCGTTTGCATTTTGCTGTTTTTTGAGACAGGGTCTCATTCTTCAGCCCTGGACAGGCTGGAATTCACTATGCAGACTAACCAGACTGGCCTCAAACTCTAATGGCCTCTGCCTAGAGGTGTGGGCCACCACATTTAGTCTAAATTTGAATTTTGAATTGTAAGAGCTAGGGAGGGCACCCCAACCCTGTGAAGGGACCCTACCCTACCAATTCTCTGATTTCACAGCTTAGCTACCCCCACAAACTCCAGCTGTGCCACCAGGAAAGACAGAACAAAATCATGAATACAAAAGACCAAATTCAAGGCTTCTTTCTTGTGGCTGGGGAGGTGTTTACGTGTGCAAATGTAGGAAACCACTCCCCACTGGCATAAGGTGCCTGTCTGCGATACCATTCGCGAGCTCCCGAGTGAGCGACGCTCAGTCCCAAGGGCACCCATTGCTCAGTCCGTGGTGACCCAAGTCCCTGGGCAGCCCCAGCCCTGTCATTTCTCCACTTTCTTGGCTTTCTTGAGGATGTCGCACTTTTTCCTGTTGGGACGTCGACACCGCTCATCGATGCTGGGTATACATTCATAGTGCCACACCTCTTCCATCTTCTCCACGGGGTAGACAGCTTCCACGTAATGGCGGATGAGCCTCAGCCTCGTGGGGTCCAGCTGCTTCTTGTTACAAGCCCCGGAGTGGTTGTACTGCAGTCGAAGGTTCTCTGCCGTGAAGAGTTCGGGGAAGAGCCTGACCAGGAGGCGGGCGGCGAAGTTACCCACCGACAGGCTCTGCTGCACGATCTCACGTACCTCCTTGTCTGACAGCAGGTAGGGGGAAGGCACCGGAAAGTCAGGTGAGGGGACCACCAGCTCGTCCAAGGGTATTTTGCAAAAGTCTTTGCTGCTCCTTTCAGGAGGCAGCGGGGGCCCCTCAAACTCCTCACGGAACCTCTCGGGGTTGATTGCATAACTTGCTAGATCCCGGCACTCGGGGCCAGGCACATGGACCTTGCGTTGCTGCTGGTAGGAGCGTCGCTGCTCCGTGTCCCTGCGCCGACAGCGCTCGTCCAGCTTGCCCACAAACTCCAGGGTCCACACACGGTCGTTCTTGGCTCTCGGGTAGAGGAGCTGCACGTAGTGGCGGATCAGCCTGATGCGGGCAGGATCCAGCTGCTTCTTGCCCAGGGAGCCGCTGCAGTTGTACTGCTTGCGCAGGTTCTCGTGGGTGAAGAGCTCCGGGAACAGATGCACCAGCAGGCGGGAGGCAAAGTTGCCGATGGACAGGCTGCTCTCGTAGATGCTACGCAGCTGCTCCTTGCTCAGAAGGCAGTCTGAACCTGGCATCTCGAAGTCAGGCTGTGGAATCTCTAGCTTGTCAAAGTCAATGGGCACCAGCCAGATCTTCTTGGAGCGCCGGCCAGGCCGCTCACCTTCAAAGCTGTCCTCTACCTTGACCACTGAGATGTCGTCCGGCAGGCTAGAGGAGTCGTAGCAGTCGTCCCGCGGCGCCTCCCCCTCGCTGCCTCCCTCCAGCCCCAGGCCCTCCAGCTCATCATTGATGCGCTGGGCACACTGCTGCAGCCAAGCTTCCTCCTCCTGCATGTCGGGAAAGTAGATCTCCGTGTAGTTGCGGATGATCTGCAGCCTCTGGGGATCCAGCTCCTGCTTGCCTCCATCTCCGTAGCAGCTGTACTGCTCCCCCAGCTTCCGGTGGTCGAACAGCTCCGGGAAGAGCCGGTGCAGCAGGAACACAGCGAACTCACCTGGAGAGGAGGCTTCATCTAGGAACTCGGTGAGGTCCTGTGTGTCCACCACATGGTCCGAGGCGATGGTGCTGCTGCGATCCAGAGACAGAGCTTCCTCTTGGTCCTTGTTGTCCAGAAAATGGCCGGCATCCACTTGGTCTGCTTCAAAGAAGTTGGTGACCTGGCCGCCTGGCTGGCTGTCTTCCATTTCCCTCTGGGCCCAGAAGCGGCTGAAGAAGTCGTTCAGCTGTGGCAAGCACTCAGCTTGCCACACGGCTGTGTCCTTCACGGAGGGGTAGTAGACCTCCACATAGTTGCGGATGAGCTGGAGATGCAGTGACTCTAACTTCCGCTTGGCGGCAAAGCCACAGGCACTGCAGCCCCGGGAGAAATCCAAGTCGCTGAAGAGCTCAGGGAAGAGCTGCACCAGCAGGCGACAGGCTAGGTCGCCGCAGGACAGGCTCTGCTCAGCGATCTGTTTCAGCTCCGCAGCAGTGAGCTGGTACTCTGGTGGAGGCTGGAACTTGGCCACCAGCTCAGACGGGCTCACCTGCTTCTTGACACGGGTCAACTCAAGGGAGAGCAGGTCCACCTTGCTGTGAAGCTGGGACATGTTAGACGTGAGAGTGTTGAGCATATAGAACATCTTCTGGATCAGGAAGTAGATATTGGGGTCCCCATCGGTGGCAACCCCGACACCACATTCCCGCTTCTGAGACTCACTGAGCAGGCGCAGAGGAGAAGGGCTGCTGCTGGAGTTTGCCTTCTCAAAGAGCTCATAGGGGCTGAGCAGCTCTCCCGAGGGAGGGTTCTTCTTCTCCATGATCTTGTGGGAGATGCCGTACAGGGGTTTCTTGTAGGAAGGTGTGGTGGCCTCAGTGGCAGGCTCCTCTTCTGCAGGCCACACACAACTCCCACTCCTGCCCCTGCTGGCAGGCTCTCCATTTCCCTGGCAGGGTGAGCTGTTCTCACGGGTGCGCATGCCAGCCAGGAGGGCCTAAAAAACAGAAACCAGTGTGCAGTTAGGTGTGTGTTCTGATGCACCGCACTACACTGGGCAGGGACTGCACAGAAGACCCAAGGTCAAACCTTCCTGGTCCAAAAAACTGTGCAGACAGGAACATACTACAGACACACAGTAACATCTGAGAGCCAACCTGCTCCATCTTCCTACTCCTTGAGAAAGGGCTCAGGCTAGACCCAGGAAGGCTCCTGCTCTTGCAGAATACTTGTGCCAGGCTGGTAAGGCTGGACAAGAACTTCTACAACAGGTGAGAGAGCAAATGAGCATGAAGAGACCCCACGGTTACCCAGACGTAAGAAGGCCCCATCCTGGCCCACACCTTCCTGCTCTCCTGGCTATGGTTCCTGGCTTCAGGCTGCAGCTTCTGGGAGCAAGTTACCATGAGGCACACAGTAGCAGGAACACAGTAGTAGGCTGGCCACTCGTGGTGGCTGCCAGGACTTAACTCTTGATTCACACTAGACAGAGGCTGGCCTAGAAGCTCTCAGAGTCCATGGAAGATTCCCTCAGTGACTCGGGGACTGCTCAGTATCACCACCGTTAGAGCATCCCTCCGCTGCCAGCACCCACCCAAGGCCACAGATGAACGCCTGCCCTGAGCTTCTATGGCAGTGCTGGCTAGACACTACTTTCCAGACTCCTTTGACCAAAGCTCTGCACTGAGTACTGTGACACCAGCTTAGGAAAGAGGACTCCCTGCGCCAGCCGAGAGCGGCACGCCATCGTTCTCCTTGCACTGCGTGCTCACACAAGCTTAGGCTGCCCTGCAGAGGCTGTGCTCAGGCTGCCCTGCAGAGGCTGTGCTCAGG